TTAGACAGAGACATGGTAAACAAGTCATTATAAAATCACTAAATTAAAAACATTCGGCGTCTCCAGATCTAATAGTTATTCGGCAATCAGGAATCCACATAAGGCAATAAAGTTCCTAACTACTTGATCAAAGAATTTTCATATTTTCCATATGATATCAGCATAAGGGGAACATTCTTCAAAAAACTGTTTTGGTAGCCACCACAGTGAATAGAATGACCTCCTGAAATGGAAAACTGGAAAAGAAGGGATCATAGTAGAGGGAACAAAAAATAGGATATATGCACTAACCATATGCAATAACAGAACAACCCCATGACAGGTATATATGTTATTCCATTACCTTCTCATAAACTTGACCATCATGAAAGGATGGATATGTGGCCTTCCTGGATAACCACCCCAAATGGAAATGTGTCCACAGTAGTAAATGATTCTAAAAGTGTATAAATATAAAACATAAATATCAAGCTACCAGCAAACCTGAATGAGACTAGAATAAGGGTAAAAATCTATGAATATTACCATACAGAAGATCAAGGGGACTTCTCCTCACTTGAAGTAAGATCAGGTGTGGATGAAAAAGTGAATATGGGGGTGAAAAGCCAGGTAGTTGATGTATAGAGTCCAGACTGGTTGATACAGTTTATGTATATTTGAATATATAGACCCAAATCTGGGTTTCCAAAAATTGCTCAATTATGAGAATAGCAATGCGGTTCCTTAAAAATATATATGAGACTGTTTTAGCATGTCGCAACACATATAAAGCGTAGTGTATACGTATTCCTCCAATATGAGTTCAAAAAATTCCCCAAAAATGAGGTAAATAAGCACAGGATTTCCAAAAATATAAGGGTATGTTACCCATTTATATTGATAGCACTAAAGCCTAATTTAGCCAAACGGCTATAAACTTGCCACCGGTGGAAGTAGGCTGTGACTCAGAGTTGCCATGTGCGGGCTGCTTAGGGTGATGTTCGCATCATAATTTGAGTGTCTCCTGCCTTTCCAGTGTGGAGCTGAAGCAAACCGCTTCTTCCTTCCTCGTGGGCACCACGCCCTATGGAGACGCTGAGCGTAATGATGTCATCACGTTGACGCGTTTCGTCCGCCAATCACCGCAGACTTCGTCAGAACTGACTTTTTTTTGGAAACCCAGATTTGGGTCTATATATTCAAATGTACATAGACTGTATCAACCAGTCTGGACTCTATACATCAACTACCTGGCTTCCCACCCCCATATTCACTTTTTCATCCAGACCTGATTTTACTTCAAGTGAGGAGGAGTCCCCTTGATCTTTTGTATGGTAATATTCATGGATTTTTACCCTTATTCTAGTCTCATTCAGGTTTGCTGGTAGCTTGATATTTATGTTTTATATTTATACACTTTTAGAATCATTTACTACTGTGGACACATTTCCATTTGGGGTGGTTATCCAGGAAGGCCACATATCCATCCTTTCCTGATGGTCATGTTTATGAGAAGGTAATGGAATAACATATATACCTGTCATGGGGTTGTTCTGTTATTGCATATGGTTAGTGCATATATCCTATTTTTTGTTCCCTCTACTATGATCCCTTCTTTTCTGGTTTTCCATTTCAGGAGGTCATTCTATTCACTGTGGTGGCTACCAAAACAATTTTTTGAAGAATGTTCCCCTTATGCTGATATCATATGGAAAATATGAAAATTCTTTGATCAAGTAGTTAGGAACTTCATTGCCTTATGTGGATTCCTGACTGCCGAATAACTATTAGATCTGGAGACGCCGAATGTTTTTAATTTAGTGATTTTATAATGACTTGTTTACCATGTCTCTGTCTAACCTCTGTATGATCCATGTGATCGAATAAAACTTTTTTGTAAATACTTATTATATTACTCCGCTTGGATTTTCTAATTACCACTCTGTGTGAGCAGTATTGCACTTGTCATACTGCTATGTTTTACGTTGAATACTGGTTAGTGCCTAGACCCTGCAACTCAGGTGAGCCCATGTCATCTGCCAGGGTGACCTGTTTGTATACCTATCCTGCTGGTTTCTGGGAAGCTCTCTTCTGCTATAGCTACTGGTCTCTGACCCTGACTCCTGGCGGTGACAGTGAAGCACACATTTCAATTTTAATATCTCCTCGAGTTGCCATAAGGAGTTAGGATCTTGCTTCCTGACTGCCCTATAGCAGAAGTTGTAACAAAAATCCTCCTGCGCTGATAAGGAAGTAAGCCCTAATCACTAGCTGCTAACACTCTAAACTAATACCAAACCAGTGTGACAAATGTAAAAAAAATTAGTGTAGCGCTTCAAACTAAAAAAATAAATAAATAAATAATACTGTGCAAAAAAATAAAAATAAAATACTTCAGTCACTATTGTGACTAGTGAAAGTGATGACAATATATATGCATATGACTCCGTGACAAATAATTATAGTGCTGGGGTCACCTAAGTGACCTATACAAGTGACACACACAAAGATAAATAAATAAATAAAACCCTCAATAGTTGAGGAAAAAACATGATAGTGCCACTTGAAATCTCATAAATAAACATAACAAACACTCTAATAGTCCAATCAAATATAGAAATAAGTGTTTCTTATAAACATGCAACGTGCAATTCGTGATTGCTTTGTGAAAGTGCCAGCACACTTTTTCCACTCCAGCTGCAGTGCTTCCTCACCTCCTTTTTGCGACCCCAAAGGGCCAAAAATCATTCAGGGTCACCCTGGATCCTTCACAGCACCGGCTAATAGCTCTCCTCCTTCAATATCTCTCCAGTAAGCCTTCTGGATCACCTACGATCCCCTGATATTGATCCTCCTCCAGTACCTTTCCACTGCAACCTCCAGGACCCTCTGTATAGGTACTCTGCAGAATATATTACTCAGCATGCCTCCTTGCTGTTCATTTTTCCTTCACGTGTTTTCTCTGTGCTCACCTATTTTTAATTTTTTTACCTATAGCAGAAGTACTGTTACAGGGCAGCAGGGCTGCGCAAAATCACGTATATATACTTGATTTTGTATTTCCAGGTAGGGGGCACGTGCGTCACCCTACATGCATCGCCATTGGCAGCTACAACTGTCAACACTGGGTCCTGGCTGGAGATTCCTCGCCGGCACCTGGCGATCACCGAGGGACACTGACAGAGGAGAGGTCTGTATGTAAACAATACAGATCTCTTCCCTGTCAGTACCAGCACACTGCTTTGTATTGCTCTGTATAGTCTGTATATCTGCTTACACAGTAAAGCACACAGTTAAGCCTTTGATTGCCCCAGATGTTAACCCCTTCCTGCCCAGTGTCATTACTTTTTATTAGCTCTGACCACTGTATTAGTGTCAGTGGGATGTTAGTGGCAGGTAGTCATTTTCCCCCCCATTGTCAGAATGCCCGCTGCAGTCCCACTATCGCCACCATTACTTGTATAAAAAAAAAATTCCAGTATATATACTGCCATTTGTAGATGCTATAACTTTCACGTAAACCAGTTTAGTTTGCACGTATTAGGATTTTTTTTTTTAGCTAAGACATGTAGCAGAATACATTTTGGCCTAAATGTATGATGAAATTTGATCTTTTAATTTTTTTTAGTGGACAGGTTTTATAGCAAAAAGTCTAAAGTATTGGTTTTTTTTTCAAAAATTTTTTTTTAGAAATTGTTATAGAGCCAAAAATAAAAAAAACACACAGGTGATCAAATACCACTGAAAGAAAGCTACATTTGTGGGGAAGAACGACATAAATTTCATTTGGTGCAGCGCTGCATGACCACGCAATTGTCTATTAAAGTAACGCAGCGCCGTATTGCAAAAAATGGCCTGATCGGGGGGGGGGGGGGGGGGGGGTGAATCCTTTGGAGGGCAAGTGGTTAAAGTTTAAAACATATAATTTAGTGGTTAAGTTTGGATTGTTTATTGCTAAACATTTTATTGAGGTAGGGGCCCAGGCATATGGATGTGCGGTGCTTTTTTTTTTTTTTCCTTAAGCAGTTGCAGACCTGGGCTTGTTATAAACACCCAGAAATATGTCATCATTGTACACAGGGCATGTGTAACTTGTCCAGTCCTTTTGCCAGAACCTCCCAATACTGGGTAATTCAGCTCTGATTAATCGCATTGACAGCTGGAGCTATAAAAAAAAAAAAGCAGCCTGACAATGTTTATCAACAATATCACTCAATCAACACAGAAACATGCAAAGAAACATTGTTTCGTTTTGTATCTTTCTGTTTATTCATTTTCAGATCAAAGGGACGAACTTAACTGCAGATGAAATCAGTTAATGCAAGCTGACAAGTAAAAATTTTTTTTTTTTTTTTTTTTAATAAAATGTTCCTGTTTAACCCTTTATTAACCCTTAGTTTACTCTCATAAGCTCTAATTAACTCCTTATTCTCCTCCATTCAGTTAGTATTTTTCCGCTGTTTTTTTTTTTTTTTGTTTGTTTGTTTCTATTTATTAGCTAAAAGTATTTGAAATTGTTTGTTTTGTTTGTTAATATTTTAATATTTTTACACCTTTAACATATATTTACACATTGAAAATTGAAAAAAAAAAAAAAAAAAACCACTTTAATTATTTGTATATAACTTTGCAATGCTTTGTACCAGAATCATAATTTTAGTGCGATTTTAAACAGAACAAACTACAGAATAAAATGTGCACTTTTTTGTGCAGTAACACTCTTTATTTTTAAACTAACACAGCTCAAAAAAAGAAAAAGTTCATTTTGTTACGCTTAATTGTTTAAGGATTGCGAAAAAAAAATAATTGTTGCAAGACAGTATTCATGAAAAGAAAGCCTTGCTTGTCTTTAAAAAAACAGTATATATATTATGTTTTTATCTTGCATAATGACAAAGTTATTGCTGATTAAACAAGCCCAAAGCAGAATTGTAAAAATTGCTCTGGTTCATGGAGGTGTGAGAGGCGAAGTGGTTTAATATGAGTAAAGTGGATTTTTTTGGTTTGTGTTTGCTGATAGATGTCTCAAGATAATCCTCAACCAAAGAAGGGCCCAGTGGGCATCCAAGATAGATCATCATCCCGAGAGGTAATTGGTGTTGTAAAATTTCTAAAACTTATCGAACCTTTCTCTGTGAACTTTTTTTTTTTTTTAAATAGTATATATCTTTGTGTGTGTTCTTTTTATGTAGTCAACAGGTGTTGTTTTTTTCCATTGCTAACTTGCACCACCTTACTGCATTTTCTGGTCTTGCACTTTACTGCAATTTCTTTCCTGCCCATTTTCTGCATGAGTGTCTCTTTTGTGTCTGTGTTCTCAGTATTTATTACCTGTTCTCTCTTCTCCACCTCCAGAGTTTGTTACTTTTCTTCCCCATATTCTCCAAGCTCACCCTTTCTCTTTGTGTTTTCCCCATCTTTATCTCTTCCTTCCTCTTCTTTCTTATTCCTCTCTTGCGCTTTTTTCCTCATCTCTCTCTTTTCCTTCTATTTTACTCTTCACACTCTTCTTCCTTTACTGTACGTTCTTCCTGTTCTTTTTTTGCTCTTTGTTATCTTCTTACTCAAGTTTCCTCTTTGCCCCTCTTTCCTCCACTGTCTATTTACCGTACAGGTTGTGCTGTTGACATTAATATATAGTTTTTTTTGCAGAAAAAGTCACGGTATTCAAACATTGGACTCCACACAGAAAATAGAAACAGACAGGTGTGTACTGCAATTTTCCTCCTTGTCTGAGCTGAATGAAAACCTGTTCTGAGACTAATAGGGGGGCAGCTGGGGGTGGCCCACATTTTTCCTAATTTAATTACAGTTCATTTTGTCTGTGTCAGTCTTGATATTGACACCTGTTTTTTGTGAAGCTTCATGTAGTTTAGGTCCTCAACTGGCTCAAATCAAGATTAAAGCAGTATTAGACCCAAAAGCTACCATTTATTTTATTCCAGCTTACCAATTCTTAGATGTGATGGCTGTATTCGTTTTCTATTTTAGGCAACTTAGTTGTTTTTCAGACGTTCAAGTTCTCCAGCAGAATGTGTCAGCTTTCAGTACACGGATGTGAATCCACTTACCACTGGCAGGAATGATTAATGATTTATTCATATAGACTGACATTGCTGCTGTTTGCTGTGTCCTGTGCTCATTCCTCCAAAGTGGTGTCTCACTACTATACAGGAGGTGTGCTACTGGCCAGATCATCAAGTGAAGACAGAGGGAAAAAAGCCAAAGAAAAGAAAACTGATGCAGCCACCACATCTAATGATTGGTAAACTGCAATATAATACATTTTTAGGTTTGGATGTAATACCGCTTTAAAGTAGAACTAAAGGCAAAACTTTTTTTGTTTTGGACAGGGTGGAGATGGTTTAGAATACCTGTCAAGTTTTTATTGCAGTCTGTGCCCCTGTATTCATCCTTTCTATTTGTCCTGTTTACCATTATCATTGAAAGTGAAAGAACCCCCAAATTTTGGGTTGTCCTCAGAAAAGTAATTTTCCAATTGGGACACTAGTTCTGGTGACCTGGGGGTCCCCAATTAATTCCCTTTAATTTGCAGAGATTTTCTCACTTCCAGTTTTGGCTATGGGACAGGAAGTGAAGGTGAATCTTCCCAATGGGACACAGATGACAAAAAATAAACACGGGTTATAACCCTCCCTTGCTCTATCCAAAATGAAAGAAAATGTTTTGCCCATAGTTCTAATTTAAGATTGCAAACCTATCATTTGGGCATAGTGTTTATACTTATTATAGTCAGATGAGCTATGACTGAATATTAATTATATTTCTACTGATATGCAGTTATAGCCCTGATGAAGGGGAACCTCTAAGGCAACAAACTGCAGTGGATGATTTTACTAATAGCATTTATTATAATTTTTTTCTGGACACACTTTAGTGGGTTGGCTCTTAGAACTCTTTCCCTCCTTACCCTCTAAAAGGACTGACCTGAAAGCTCCCTCCTTAGGATCAGAAAGCTTCATAAAAACCACAAGGACCATTTAAATATCTACTAGAAATGCAAACACATTTAAAAAAAAATCTACATTCTTCATATATAAGTAAAAGCATGGCAGAGGTTCTTCCTTACTCTATCTAAAATTAAATGAATACTAAGTAGCTGAAGATCAACTTTAATGATGTAATTCAATGTGATCTCAATGAAATGTGTGTTTATACTTGGATTGTTAACTACTCACATCACAAATGTAATTTATAACGTTTTCTGTTTTTTCCATGAGGCATTTCATAAAGTAAGACTATAGAATAAGATATCCAAGAAATTTATTGAATCAAAATAACTTTGGTTGGTAAAGGGACTTTTGCTAAATGAATACATCAATGCAGGGTGGCTGTAATAATGTGAGGAGTGTTGTTATGGACAGTTTAATTATACTGCTATTAAGCAAGCCAAGTGTTAGTGGCAGTTTTTGAATGTATATCTATTGAATAATTATCATGTCCGTATTCAGAAAATCTAATAAAACCATTTTCCTTATCAACAGAGTTAGGATGTATTCAGATAGTAGTAGTTGGTCAGATTTTACTAGAACTGTTTAGTAATGCTGATATTTTATCACTCATTGAAGTGTCTTAGTTCTGAGGAAGCCATTCGGATGAATGCTGAAACATTTTAACATTGCTAAACAGGTTTAGTTAAATTTGACTAACTACCTCTAGTGGTACTATCACCTGGATAAATAAACACTTTTCTAGACATGCAATCTAAATTTCATTAATTAGCCCCAGGTATGTCAGTGCAGTAAAAAAAAAAAAACATGATGGAAAAATAAGTTGGCCATACACGATTAGATTTTCTCTTGCTTATTCTGTGGCTGGATGAGAGTAAATCAATTAATTCCCCCATCCATGCTAAAAAGGCACACTCACAGTTGCCTGCATAGTGACTGCATCTGATAGGATATAGTCTTTGTTTGTTTGGCCAATAATTTCCAGCCTGGGTTTTGTTGAGTTGGGTGGTGCTTGCAGGGCCACCCAGAAATCAAATATCGAGCCATCTAAAGCCAGCAATAGTCTTCCAGGCACCACAGCTGCTGATCGGAGATCTGCTTGTAGTTTACATTTATATAACGGGGGAAGGGGAGGATGGCATTCTTTTAAAATAACTTTCAATACTTTCTAAAATGTACTTTTTGCTAAATGTGGATGGTTTTTTTTTTTAACCCTAGAAAAATGCTTCACAGCAAGGTAAAAAATGTGGTTGTTGAAGAGCATCATAACTCCCCTAATTGTTCAAGACCAGTAGCAGCTGTAGCCAAAGTGGAAGTTACTGATAACTTGCCTACTCCTTACCTCAATAACAGAAAGGTAATTAACTCCAGAGAAAATTAAACTGTGTATAAATTGTCCGAATTAACTTGTTTATTAAAATGTATAAGATCTCTCATGCAGCTATCACCTGATTATTTTTTTTTTGCTGATCCAAGCTACCCATTGACATAAGAGGACAAGTGCTGGATGTGGATTCTCTTGGATTTGGAACATTTTGACAACAGTTAAAGCTCACCATATACCATCACTAGTCCAATTTGACTGTACAATCTTTTGTACAGTCTCCTTTAGATTTACCAATGATTGCAAACTGTGCGGTGAGCTTAGGGAAAGTCAGTTGGGCAGGTTTTAAGATCTTCCCATATTCGTAATATATACTGTGATCATCAATCACCAGTTCCTGCTCTGCCCCTCCCCTTCCCCCTCAGATCTCCATAGTGCTGTGCTGGAAATCTCAAAAGATCTGATCTTCAGCTATATGCCCTTGTCTTTCAATCTTTCAGGTCAGTCAGGGTGATTGGATTATGCCCATAATAAACTCCCCTGCAGTGGTGTAGCGTGAGTTGCCAGCACCTGGGGTCACCCTTAACTGCACCCACACACTCAGCGGGAGCTTGCCACTCTCTTTCCTCTAATTCGCCCACTGCAACCTAGAATGGCCCTTCTCTCTCTTCCACACAACCTAAAATCTCCCTTAGAAGGGAGCATGCTGCTGATAGGACCAGAAGTGAATGCACAAAAATTGATCTCCTGACTATTCTCACCCCAAATCCCTACTTTTTTTGCACCCCTAAGAATTTTCCACCCGGAGAAACCAACCTTGTGGCCTCATCGCTATTATGCCACTGATGTCCTGTGAATTTTTCATTTAAAACAGAACTATATCTGAGCACCACGAACCAAAAACGCAATTTAATTTTTAATATTTAAAACAAACTTACCCATCTATGTATCTATGTTTTATATAGTTGTGAAATCACTTTGATAAACAATACCTCCCCCCAAGCATTTCTAGCTGTGGCCATCTTGAGTAAGGACAGATGATTCCTATTGCATTTACTTCCTGTAATCCATCTGCACTTGGCTCAGGCATGCAGGCAGGAAGGCATGCTTTGCTGAGAAAGCCCCTTCTCTCCTCTTGTGGATGAAAGAAAAAAATTGCTCAGTCATTTTGGCCTAGACTAGAAACCAGGATGCATCTGAAGAAATGTAAAAAATAAAGTTTAAAACAAGTAAATAATATTGCTTCCTATCTACTTACTAATGCTAGCATCATAAAGATCAAACATAGTTAATGTTGCTTGAGAGAGTAAAGTTTGCTTTAATTTCAATGAATAAACCTGGTTGGTTGTTCTATCACATTTATAAGTGTTGTGACAAACTGATCTGTGGAGTTAGCAGGAGCTATTTTCAAATTTTATGTTTTTAAACATTTGTAAAAACATCTAATGGCAACATTTGATGTACTATTAAAAAGCTTTTTATTAATGTTTCTTCAGGTTGCCACACAGTTAATTCCAATTGTAGACACTTGCAGAATTGAAACTACTCTTTCACAACTAGGAGAAAATAAAGTGGTGAACACCTCAAGAAAAGCAGCAGCAGGACATAAGAACATCAAAAGGCGAGCTAATGAGGACAACGATGTATCAGATTTTGAGAGGGAACTAATGAATGAAAAACATCACAGGAAAAAGAAACCTCTGGACCCTAGGCACCGTCTCAGAAATGCCAAATTTACTGCACATGAAAACTTGGTCCTTGTGGAGAATCTAATACCGGTTTTTCATAAACTTGCTGGCAACAACTTGGCCACCACAGATCCTGCCTGGAAGCATGCAGCCTGGCTAAAAATCACTGCTGCTGTCAATAGCTTGGGTGTTTATCCTAGGCATCACGAACATGTCAAAAAAAGATTTCATGACATTAAATTTGCTTTGAGAAAGAAAATGTCAGATGAGCAGCAGAGCAGGTAAACCATGTTTGCATTTAATCCTTATGTTATATGTTATTATGGTCTTTTTTTTTTTTTTATGTGCCATGTTTCATCCACTTCAGAAGTGTTTACCCCTGTCAGGACTTTTTTTTGCTATTCAGCACTGTGCTATTTTAATTGCCAATTGCTTGGTCATGCAACAGTGTACCCAAAATAAATTTATATAATTTCTTTTACACATATAGAGCTTTTTTGGTGGCATTTAATCACCACTGGGTTTTTAATTTTTTGCTATCTAAATGAAAAAATACAAAAAATATTTTCTTTCTTGATAAATTTAGGCTAAAATGTAGACAGCAAAATATAGCCAAAATATAGAATGCAAATCAGCGCTAGGGCTGGAATCAGAAGTGACATCGGGACATATTGACGCGGCCCACAATTGCTCCTTTGTCAAACCTGATGGTTTGCGTTCCAGCGCGGCTATATTTTTTGCTGGAGGAAGACGCAGCCTGTCATATGGACTTAGTCTGCATTCTGACAGAGTCCAGCTTTATTCCACCTATCCTGCAGAGCTGTTTTAAGGATACATCTCATCCACCCGCTGTACACCAAGGTTTGCCAATGAATAAGGACTGATGATATGTCCATTTACTCTCATCCTTGTGAGTGTATTTTAACCCTTTCCTTTACTTGTTTTTACTTAAATTGATGTACTTGGATGGTGGCACCTTTGTTTATTGTTCTAGTGCACAGAGATATCCAATACCCCGTTAGAAGAGCTGCAGCCATTATAGAAGTGGATTAACACCTTGATCTACCATATAGAGACTACGGCTTCTTGCTTTGGACTTAATCACACCTTCTCCATTTGCACTATAGAGTTTTTTATATTTTTATGACAGTTACATACATTGTAATCATGTGATTGCTATGAATGGTCATAGCGATCATGTGATACAGTGGTCGGGTTCTAAGTAACATCACGGGATCACGCTGCTGTGCACCGCCAGTGCGCACATGCTAAGCGACGTACCAGTACATTACTTGGCCAGTAGCTGCCACCCACCCGCGGTAAATGTACTGTGGGCTGGCAGCAAGTGATAATTGCCTAAAAGTTTCCTCTAACTTTCTCTATTTCGTCTGTAGGAGATCAGGTGTTTAGTATACCAGGAAAAAAAATATTCTATCATGACTATGAGGAATTGTTAAAACCATATATTTATAAGGAATCATTTATTGGAATAGATGGAGGCTATGATTCCTCAAAGCATGTTAAAGGTAAGTTGCACTATTATTTTTATTTGTTTTGTTTTGTTTTACATTTAAAGATGTCAGTGTACTTTAGGTTTTTTTTTATTTCTTGAATATTCCTTTACCAGGCATTGATTTCATCAACTAATACATTAGCCACATGAGACCCGGTGTACACCACCTTGTCCAGCAATGTCTTCATGACTTCCAGAAGTCGGACATCATAGATTGTGCTTTTGTAAGCACTCTACAGAAGATGTAAAAGTCCCGTAAAAGTGTAGTTTTTCCCTGCAATATCTTTAGCCTCCCCAAGCCTATCTATTGGTCTATAAAGCTAACAGTCACATTAAAAGAGACTAATAATACATCTAGGGTGGTAAGAGGGTTTGCATGACTGATCTTCACTTTCACAAGAAAAACTCAAGGTGCTTTCTGGCTCTGTCTGTGGATCCATTGAAAGTTTTGACAAAAGGTTTTCACTGAATGTACCCTCTATTTATGGTTTGTTATTTACATATCTGAGTCCATTTTATGTCCAAAATTCCTATGTTACTGGAAACCACAACAACCATGTGATGGGACAAACAGTTATGCAAGCTATGTCTTGTTTTCAGCAGTCATTTATTTTGGATTGTAATTATAATATGTGAACAAAGGCTGCATACATGATTTTTTTGTAACATGTTTTTTTAAAATGTTGATCTTAGAGAGCTTTTCATTTTACTTTTTGATATTTAACCACTTGCCCTCCAGAGGATTTACCCCCCTTCCTGACCAGGTCATTTTTTGCGTTACGGCACTGTGTTACTTTAACTGACAATTGCGCGGTCATGCAATACTACACCCAAATTAACTTTCCGTCCTTTTTTCCCACAAATAGAGCTTTCTTTTGATGGTATTTGATTGCCTGTGCATTTTTTCATCTTTGCACTATAGACAAAAAAAAACCGACAAGTTTGAGAGAAAAAAAAACAATATTTTGGACTTTTTGATGCTGTACTGGAGACAGTCAGGGAGGGGAGGAGGCGATGAACGGTGCAATGTTAAAAAATATAAAAAATTTAGGTTGCCATAAAGCCCCTTTCTTGTTTTTAAAAGCCCCAGATATTCCTAATATCACCTCCATATCAATAATAATAGTACATGAACCCTTCATATTTTCCATCCTGGCAAAGTCATTTCATGGTTTAAAGGGACATACATCCATTGAAAATCCCTAGTCATAAAACGGTTTCATTCAGTAATAGTAGAACAATAAAAACCTTGTTTAATTAGTTTTGGTTAAAATGATTTATTTTTATCAGGACAAGTAGATTGTCATAAGGGACAAGTAGTTTGGGACCCGAAATAGTTTTTGCTTTACATACACTTTAACAAATTTGAAAATTAATCACTCAGCTTTTGCTATTCCCTAAACAGAGCAACCTGGAACATTACTCTTGTACTCTGAAAATTCAAGTGAGAGTGGACTTTCTGTAACTGCTCATGGATTAGATCTGGAAACAGATGAAGATGATAACACCACAAACATGGATGTCCCTATAACTTTTTATCGACAACACACTCTTCTCATCCAGTTGGTAACTCCTCTGCAGCAGAACCTTTTACTAACTGTGCTAACTCTGTTGCGCCAGAAAGTGCTGGAGTGGCTGATTCTGATGTTACAGATGCTGCTGTTGTTCCTCCAGATCCTTCATTACACAGACATCCAGTATACAGTACAGTAAATATGGATCGTCAGCAGTATGTGTTTGATGCTCCACAAAGTGAAAGATTGCAGGACAAACAAAAAAGCCATCGCAAATGTTTAATGAATAGACTTGACGTTTTGAACAATCACCTCGCCAAATTTAATGCCTTGTACGAGCAACAAATTGCAACCACTCAGATCTATAGACAGCAACAATTAAATTTCATGTGCAAACAAAATGAGCTGCTCACAGAACAGTTATCTAAGTTGGACTCAATAGCCACTCTCTTTGGTGAAAGGAACAGCAGCAACAACATCTGAAATACTAGGGTCTAAACAATAGGAATTGAATTATGTTAATGTTTTGTAAACATTTTCAGTTAAAGTTAATGTACATTGCTTGTATAGCAGATGTTTTTGTATTGATTCTTGGTAATTTAAATTGTCTAATAAATATAAAATATTCAACCTTAATCATGCTATAGCATACAGAAGGACCTTTAATGCTTATGAACCTAACACAAGTTGTAATTAAAAAGCAGTATTAAAAGTGCACGATATGTGCTTACCATTTGTGTTATGGGCATCTGAGGCCTGTAATACAGAATCCTCTAGGATAGCTTCAGAGGACACCAGATTGAATTTATTTTTTTGCTAAAATGGTAACTATTGCACCAAATATGAAGAAACACAATCTGTGACCTAGTAGGAAGTTCTTGAGAGCAGAAGAAAGGGGGTGAAGCCCTCAGACTCAAACATTTTGGCCTCTGTTTGTGTAATATCCATGTATTAGGAGTCACAGTGTGCTCTAAAGATTTCCACAAGGTATTTACACTATAAACCTCGGGGTCACCTTAGAATGTTGGTTTAGACCATATTTCTACTGCTACTAAAGACACCACACACAGATTTGCATCACTTTGGCCTTTTGACCCATCTCCTTTTCTACACCAAATGTGATAATGTTACACAAAAGAAGGACATAAATCTACATTAGTTTTCTGCATAGCAGTTACTGTTGCCATGAATATTCATGTGTTCATGAGCTGCACAGTACTTTTCAGTTTGTGTTTATTCAATCACATGTCCTTAGCAAGAAATTATAGTTTACCTATAAACTGGATTTGTTTTTTTTTAATTGGCTAATGGCTATCCAATGTAATTCCTTTTTCTGCCATGCACCAAGGTTGGTGTTTAAGCACAGATATGCAAATTGTATAACGTCACACTTTGTCTAACCATGCTTGTCTGCGTTTTGTTTGGTATTTTTTTCAATAAATAAAGCAAAAGTCCATGTAAATTTATGTAAGCTCATGTATGGTAAGTATGTATAGCAATTACATATGTAACAAAAACAAAGCCATTTTTTTAAAGACAATGCTAAATTATATGCTGCTGTAAGGTTGGCAGTTTACAAAGGGCAGCATAGCTTCCCTTGATGTCTGCTAATATGAACACTTTTTAATAATATAATTTAAAATTGTGTAGATGTATGCACAAAATGCCATACAGTGAAGATCCTACTTATATTGTATTTGCTCAATATTCCCCATAATAAGTTGAACTTGATACATTTTTTTTTCTCTAAGCAATAAGTTCATAGTTTATTTAAAGTAAACCAATTATTTGCCTATGCAAGGCAAGGTAACAGGTTCAGTTTAATCCCTCCTTCACAGCAGCACATTCCCAGCTAGGAACAAGTGGCACCACTTTGTGTAAACTGCTGGTCAGTCAAGTTGTAGCTTACATACCATTATGGACTCTTCCCATATGATAGCAGTGATTGAACCAACGCAGTCACATGTAGTGGATCATGTGCTTTGCCATACCTGAAAAGTATTGGGTAGGTTCTTAACTCCCAGCAGTTGAACAGAGTAAAAGGTGTGTGCTGGAAGAGGAGATTAAAGAAATGCTATTTTCCCTATCATCTGCTAAGGGACACAGACATTATTAGACAGTCATATTATACAGCCACCTACAGGAGAAATGGACACCAATATCAAAAATACTGTTGGCCAGCACAGGATAACCTTGCCTACAACCGTCATGCCTCAGGGTTTTGTTAGCATCCTCAGGAGAGTGGATGTGTTTCCTTTCAACATCTTGGATTTTCAGGCAAATTGGCCATGTCTGGCATGATGGTGCCGTGCACTATCAATTTGGGAGGGACCAGAAGTCTCACCATGGCAGGAGAGGTAGATTGATTCCTGTCCTGGTCAGAATTTCATGTTAAATATTTGTCTGCCATATGCATACCAGGAGGGGTCTAAAGTGCAGTCTAAATTGGCGACCTTATCCTGCAAGGAACCCTTTCTGATTTTTCCTAAGGACAGTGTGGTTTTGAGGCCCAGGACTTCCTTTTTGCGTTAGGCAGTTTTGGCCTTTTACCTCAGTGAGGACATTGTTCACCCACCCCAAACTCTGCCTTCAGTTTACCAAAAGACAACATCCATCCATTGTCTGCATGTAGTTCGGGCTGTGAATGTCTTATCTCTTTGCCTCTGCTTTTTTCAGAAAGACTGATTCCTTTTTGTGTTTCAGGTGTTTACCAACTTTCTTTTGTGATCTCTAGGTGTCTCAAGCTGACCATCCTCTGATTTTATGGTCTTAGGAGTGGGTTCTACCCTTTCCTGTTAGGGTGCACTGTACTGGATTTGTGAGTGCCTTTTCCATTTAGCATTCTAAACTTTTCAGGCCTCATCTCTAGCTTTAGGAATTGGGTCCTTCAGGCAGCTCCCTAATTTTACTGTTGTTTTTTTCTTGGGACTGATAGTATTTGTTGCAATGTTGCCCTCTCCTCTGTTGGACTGCTTTTGGATGTCCCGACTGTCTGAGAATTCCTGTCTGATACAGAATATAGGATTTTTGCACTTGGCATAAAATCCTTTTCTTGGAGGGACACAGCTTCTGTTTTTTTATTTCATGCTCTCTGTACTTCTTTGCTACAAACTGAGGCATGATGGTTGTGGGTGGGGTTATCTTGTGCTGGCATATGGCTTTTTTGTTGCCAGCATCTATTCTCCTGTAGAAGGCAGTATTATCCAACTTTCTAGGAATTTCTGTGTTCTTTGATAGACTTCAAGAAAAGTTTTATATGGTAGCTACAAAAATTCTATTACTTCGTCCTGCATGGGCAAAACACAAGTTTTCTTTGATGTTTGCACTTTTTGTGACTGAAAAAAAACAACATTCTGGAGTGTATATTTGCTTTATTTAAGCTTCTTTAAAGCATAAAATAAAAGATAACTTTAATAGAATTGCAATGTTTTATTAATTTAAAACTAATCTGTTGGAATGTTATTAAGCGTACTGCTTTAGATTTACATTGCAGTGAATGTGACTGTCATCGTTATCATTCGTCACCTTTAATCAATCACTAATGTTGAGGAAGAATGTGTATCTCATGAACTTTACATTTAGAGAATGCGTCCTTTCACAATTTGAGTAATTACACTTAGCTCTGAAAATGAAATTAGGCATAATCAAATTAAATAAACTAGCAGCTTTAATGAAACTGGATCTATGTACTCACTTCTAAATTAGGTCCAAGTGGATTCTTCACTCAGTACATGTGGAGTGTGCTAGGGTGCCCAAAATTCATGTGCTCTCTTATGCCAGTGTCAATCACAACTTGCATGGTTGATCTCGGTTTCTTCTATTCCCAAAACCTGTGCTTACCTTTCGTCCAACAAATTCAAAGGGTGGTATCACTGCCTAATAGAAATGCAGGAAGACAAGGCTTCAGGTCAACTGTGGTTGGTTGATATTGCTATAATGAAACACTTGGATTTAGGGGATTCTGGAACTTTCCAAATCTAATTTGATAACGTGAGTAGCCACTTAAAAGAGTTAGGTAAGCAGACTGGTTTAGTTTAACGTTTTTGTTCTTCAGGACAAAATGCTTGGCTGGCATTGGCCTGTAAACAAACCTTGCATATATAGAAAGAATTCTATTTGTTATTAGCAAAGCAGGTTTAATGTTTACAAAGTTAGGCATGTTGTTTTTGCCATTATGACAAGATAGAGATACTGTAGGTGAATTTTTTTTTTTGTAACATTTTCTGTGATGGTTTCTGTGTCAAGAAAATTAAAATTCTTTGGTAGAAACTTTTGCTTAAAATCTATCTTCTTAAATAAAATAAATAAGTTATGTTTGCAAAATGTTTTTTTTCTTGTTTTCAACATAATCAGAAACATAAGTAGTTTGGATGAGATGTATCAGGTTGAGCAAGTTGGATAGTTAAAGGATAAGTTCACCTTTGGGAACATGTTACCTGCCCTTATGAGGTAGGAGCACACAGATACAGTGACAAGTCTGTAGGAGTCCTACATGGCACCCGTGATCTACTGATTGCAGGTGCAATGTTTTACAAGCTCCTTGTAAAAAAAATAATAAATGTACATTATTTTTTTACCAACAAAAAAGATGTGCATTTATTTTTATTTTTTTTACCACTTGCCCTCCTGAGGATTTACCTCCCTTCCTGACCAGGCCATTTTTTGCATTGCGGCGCTGCGTTATTTTAACTGACAATTACGCAGTCATGCAACACTGCACCCAAATTAAATTTATGTCCTTTTTCTTTCTGTGGTATTTGATCACTGGTGCGGTTTTTATTTTTTGCACTATAAAAAAAAAAAGGACCGATAATTTTGAGAAAAAAACAATATTTTTTACTTTTTGCAATAAAAGGTGAACTTATCCTTTAAAGGTGAAAACAGTAGGACACACAATCTTTGTTGATCCATCCAGGAACTAAGGTAGCTAAATCTTATTTCTACATAATTACAGCTACAAAACATGATGACATTATTAAAACTGAAGTTTAGTTAATGTTTTTTTATGAATGTGGGGGGGGAGATACAGCTTCAGTCACAACTAACCTGTGATCAGTTGTGACCCATGTCCTGCTGACTGCTCCTCATTGTAAAGATTTTCTTCAGTGAAGCTCATCCCTCTTAAGCCTGGGTTCACATTGATGCGGTGCGGAATTCGCATCGTTTTCTGTGCGAATTCTGCACCGCATCAGAATCGCACCCCATTCATGCGTACCGATGCAGGTGTGTATGTTAACAACACCCAAAATCGGTCCACAAAACACGGTGCGATGTGCAGAATCAGATTGCATATGTGTGAATAACCATGCGATTCGATTCTAGTGCAGACTCAAAAGAGGGTCTTGCACCTTTTTGGTGCAGGTGCGGTGTGATTTCAGCCATACAAAATGTATGGCTCCGATTGCACCGCACACAAATCACATGTGATTTGCACAGGAATGCGGTGCGGAATGCGAAATACAAAACAGCTGGTCTCCAAGGTA